CATTGATCAGAAAGTACACGGTTCCCCTATTCCCCACGTCACCACATATGCACAACCTCTCCTACCCCACTAACTGCATTCCTTATCAGGATGCATTTATAACAGTTGATGAACCTGAACTGAAATATCATTATCGCCCAGACTCCATTGTTTACATTGGGTAAATCACTCCTGGTGTTGTACACTGAGTTTTGACAAATGTATAATGATATGCATCTATCACTGTAGCACTAGACAGTATAGTTTCATTGCCCTAAAAATCCTCTGGGCTCTTCCTATATCATCTCTCTCTCCCCACAATCTCTGGTAAGCATTGATCTTTAGATTGATTTCTTTCACTTAATAATATGCGTTTAAGCTTCCTCCATGTCCTTTCATGGCTTTAACTCATTTTTGTCAATTTTTCACCCCTGTGGCAAATACCCCAGGAAAACAACTTAGAGGAAGGAAGATTTGTGTTGGTTCGTGGTTTCAGAGGTCTCAGTCCATGGTTGGCTGGCTCCATTGCTTTGGACTTGAACTCAGGCAGAACCTCCTGGGGAAAGGTTGGTGGAAGAAAGCTGCTCTGCCCCTGGCAGCCAGRAAGGAGTGGGGCGGGGAGGAAGGGAAGTGTGCGCAGATGGGTCCAGGGCATGCCTCAGAGATGGATCTCCCCAGCCATGGCCCACCTGCCAGCAGTTTCCACCACCTTCCAGTAGTCCATCTGCACATTTGGCTACCAATGGACTCATCCACTGATGAGGTCAGAGGCCTCATGATCCAATCATCTGCCCAAAGCCCCACCTCTGAACATAGCTGCATTGGGGACCAAGCCTTCAACTCATGAGTCTTCGGGGGACATTCCAGATCCAAACCATAACAGTATTGTATAGTATCTCCTGTCTGGATGATCACAGTTCATTTTTCCATTTGCCTACAGCAGAATTTCTTGGTTGCTTCCAGGTTTTTCCATTTAACATAAAAGCTGCTTTAGTCATCCATGTGCAAATTTTTGTGTGGTCACCAATGTTCAGCTCATCTTAGTAAATACCAAGGAATGCAATGTGCTGTGTCATTTGGTAAGAAACCTCCAAACTGTCTTCCAAAATGGCAATCACTTCCTCTTGGCATTTATTGTTTTCCTTTCAGAAACCAGGACTCTAGACTTGTAACAATTCATAGGGTGGCAGTTTGGGCTAATTGAGAAAGTATAGGGTTTGTAAGTCAGTCATTTGGATAGGGCCTAACATAAAACGGTTACAGTTTCTTCTAAAGGAGTGTCACTGTGAACTGAGAATTGGGATATAGAATCATTAGGGGCTTTTGTTGTTGTTGTTTTTTGTACCACAGTCTGAACCCACTCAGTGGCTTATCCACTAAGCCACCTCCCTAGCCCCTTTTTATATTTTATTTAGAAACAGGGTCTCTAAATATGAGTTGGTTAGGGTTTTGCTAAATTGCTGAGGCTGGCTTTGAACTTGTGWTCCTCCCTCCTCAGCGTCCCAAGTCACTGGGATATAGGCGTGAGCTACAGTGGCCAGCTAATAGGTTTTTAAAATGACTGTTTGAGCCATTAAATAATACCTAAACCAAGATGTTTTGTAGAGGAGGAGATGAGGAGAGTCTCTGAAGGGACTAATGATAGCTTGGGCATTCTGGGTAAACAAGGTGGACAAGATCCAGTCTTCTTAATCAGCAGACTACAAGGACAGTGGATCCAGGGTAAAAAGTCAAGTTGGGAAGGTAAGACGACATTTATAACAAAAAGCTTTTATAAACAAACAGCTGGTGTTTAGCACTTTCTGATGGAATAAATTAATTTGAAAAAAATAATAAAAACTCCTATTCAGGCTTAGCTGAAAGACTAAGAATGAAATGATCTTGTATGATGCTATACTGATGGATACACCTCAATGGGAGGCATTTTTAAAATTTTTTTATTTTTATGTGGTGCTAGAGATTGAACCCAGTTCCTCACACATGCTAAGCAAGCACTCTACCATGGAGCTTCGGCCCCAGTCCCACAGTAGGGGACATATTTGTTCAAGTTTATTTACATGACTTACAGGTAAATCATAAACCCCGTTTCTATTTTCTCTTTATTTCCTGGGCTACAGAGGAAAATAGCCACAGTTGTCCTTGAATATAATGATAGAGTCTGAGAAAAATCATTTGCCAGTCATACTCTGTCAGGTGTCACAAGGGTGACCTATAATTACCCATTACCATTTCAATAGAGGGGAACAATTAAAGCAAGGGCACTTCTCTGTCACATTTCAGTGAGACAGGATTGTGAACCTGATGGGCAGTCAATGTCCAGAGCACCAGGTTTTAGAGTGGAGATCTTTGTCAGAGAAAGTGAAAATTAGCCAAACAACCTTTTATTCCTGGTTATTGTTCTGTAGGTCTTGGAAACCTAGTCATAGCTTCATTTTGGGTCAAATACTGAACAACCTTCAATTATGGAAGATAATTGAACCATTCTTTGTGAAGTCTAGGCAGGTGTCTTTCAACCTGTTCATGGAAAAGGTTGAGAAATGAAGCAGCATTGTGTTGAGTGGCTGTCAGCTGGACACAGGTCGGCAACAGAAGATTTATATKATACAGTGATAATAACTATTTATCAAAAATGGCCCATAAGGTGAAAAGAAAACAGATGCTTTTTTTCCCCCCAGTACTGGGGATTGAGCCCTGCCCCCACTCCCAGGGCCTCTCATATGCGAGGTGAGCACTCYAGCACTGAGCGACAGCCCCAGCCCTTTTATTTTATTTTCAGACAGGATCTCACTAAGTTGCCCAGGCTAGCCTTGAACCTGCAATCCTCTTGCCTCAACCTCCTGAGTGGCTGGGATTACAGGCAAGCATGCATCATTTTAATATACACAGAGGTAACCAGTCTTTACACAGATTTTCTTTTGTTGTTATCTGTAAACTATATTCATGTCCTACTGGAATCCTCTGAGTGTGGTGTGGCAAAAACAATGGGATGTCACTCAGAGATTAGGTTACAAGGGCTTATTTTGGGTGGGGCCTGGGGTTTTAACCCCAGGCCTCTCTCATGCCAAGCACACRTCCTATCATTAAGCTGCAGTCAATGTTTGGCCCAGGACTGGCTTTTTATCTTAGCTGTTGTCTCTTGGTTGCTCACTTACTCTGATGCTATGTGGCAAGCCCCTGTATGGAGAAGCCCTTGTGGCAAAGGGCTGAGGAGGCCTTCCATCAGCAGCCTGTGTGAGATTGAGTACCTCAGCCCACCATCCTATGAGGAAGTGAATCTTGCCAATGTATATGAGTGAGCTTGTTGGTAGACCCTCCATTGTCTGAGCCTGCAGATGAAAATGATGTCATRCATGAGACTCTGAGCCCGTAGAACCTCCTAGCTAAGCCCCTTTAGGATTTCAGACCCACAGAAACTCTGATATGATAAATGTATGTTTTTTAAAGCTGTCAAGTATTGGGGTAGTTTGTTATGTAGCAACAGATAATTAATATGCATATGTTACAAAGTCAGATTAGATTGTCTTTTGTCATTTGGAGTTTATATATATATGTTGTTGATAGACCTTTATTTATTTATTTATATGTGGGGCTGAGAATCGAACCCAGTGCCTCACACATGCCAGGCAAGTGCACTACCACTGAGCCCCAGCCCCAGCTTGTCATTCGGAGTTTTAACAGTAAACAGAAGGCACTGGACTAGGATTTTGTAGAGAACTGTGGGCCGTGTCATGAACTCAGTAAGTTCTGAAAAGGAAGCCAAGCCTTCCAATGGTGGAAAGCCTTGATCATCCCTAGAACTGAAGGAAAAAGGGGAGGCAGAAGCATTACCAGAGGTTGAGGAGAGGTGAATCACAGTAAGACTGTACATGGGAGTCTGGAAGAGGACTTGGCACCTGTTAGAATTGGGTGCAGGCAGGGAGTGGGCAGAGATACCTTGACTTCTCTCCACCCCGAACCTTCATATCTGCCTCTAACTTTCACCATCCATCTCTAGCTGTTAACCAGAGATCAACTCCTAGGGGTCAGCCCCTTTGAGAGCAGGGATCAAGGCAGAGAAACTAGATGTCTGTTGGGGCATAGAGAGAAAAATGAGCACATGAACAAATTACTGGGTAACTGTTTTTACGTTTTATACCTTTTTGTTTCATGATAGATTCTTCTACATAATTGTTTTAGGTATCTACATATTATACTATAATCAAATTATCTAATCACACACTAACATTTTGACTATATATATTCTTATTTTTCTGTGATAAACAGTGAAATGAATATCTGTTTGTTATATTTCTGTGAATTTTCTCAAGTAAAATGGGAATAAATTGCAAAAAAGCAGAATAGTTGAGGACATATTTTTAAGGATTTTGATACATCTTAATATATGACTTACCAGCAAAGTTTCTTTTTCCTCCTGAAAAAAACCTTTGCCTATTTGATTATTAAAAATATTATTTTTCATAGTCTTCATTTTGGAATATGAGTGTGTTATAAAATATTTTTCAAATGCTCATTTGTTAATGTTGTTTTTTTTAAAAACTCTGCCCATTTTTCTGTTTGTATTCAGTCTCATTGATTTATGAGCACTATTTACATATTAAAATTTCAATGTTATATACTGCAAATATTTCCTAGTTTAAATTTTTTTCATTTATAGCATTTGTTTTTTAACCTCAAGAATGTTAAGATGTTTTTTTTTTCCTAGTATTCTTTTAATAGTTATGTCAAAATAAAAAAATATAAAGGGCTGGGAATGTAGCTCAGTGGTAAATCACCCCTGGGTTCCATCCCCAGTACAAAAACAAACAACAATAAACCCTGGCCATTCAAATAGGCCTTCTACAGTTTTAATCTGACTTTCTTTCCATTATATATATTTGCTACCCTTTTTAGATGGATTAAAATATTTCCATGAATATTTTTTATTGAAAATGATTCTAATCATTGTCTTGCTCTGACTGTGCTGCTATAACAAAATAACACAGATCAGGAAACTTATAAAGAACAGAAATTTATTGCCACAGTCCTGGAGGCTGGGGAGTCTATGATCAAGGTGCCATCAGATCTGTATCTGGGGAGGCCCCAGGCTCTGCTTTCAAGATGGCGCATTGAATGTGACATCCTCCTATGATATGAGGTGGGAGGTCAAAAAGGCCAAGTGCTATGTGAAGCCTCTGTTATGAACGCTTTAATCTCTTTCATGAGGGAGAGGCCACCATGGCCAACTCATCTTCTAACAGTCCTACCTATTAATGCTATCATGTTGACAAGTAAGTTTCAACATATAGATTTGGGGGAGAATGTTCAAATCATACCAACTACTATATATTTCAATAAATATCAGTAACAGGATTCTAGATGGGCCTAGCTGAAGATTATGTCCTTGTTTTCCCCTCAAATTAGGCCTAATTTGTTTTTGTTCATTTGTTTGTTTTATTCTTGGCAGTGCTAGTGAACAAACCCAGGGCTTCTGCAGGCTAGGCCAGTGCTCTACCACTGAGCTATCCCTAGCCTCAGGCCTGTTTTGTTGCCTCATGTCTTGAACCTCTTGATAATTTTTATAAATACCATAAATATTTTAGAGCTTGATTAAAAGTAATTTTGGCAGATCCAAGAGAGGCAGTATTATTAATATAGTGTCACATGTGTAATGCAAAGAAGTGCTTACCACAGTGCTCTTCTTTTAAAATGAAAAATATGAGGACATTCGGCACACATGAGTATAATCAGTCTTTGTGCTGGCATTCCATGAAAAGGGAGCTCCAGGTTATGTTTGTAATATGTGTTTTTCCCAAAGGGCTTTCCGTGGCTTCAAGAAACACCTGACACAAAAGAGAATATACATTTCATTTTGATTTCAGAACATGATTTCTACTTTAAAAGTTAAAGACAATCTTTACGTTGGAGAGGAAAATAGTGTTTCCTTAGTTTTTGATCTAATGATTTTTAAATAAAAAATCAAATTGAAGCCAGGTGTGGTGGCACACACCTGTAATCCCAGAAGTTTGGGAGGCTGAGGCAGGAGGATCACAAGTTCAAAGTCAGCCTCAGCAACGTGGCGAGGCCCTAAAAAATTCAGTGAGACCCTGTCTCTAAATAAAATACAAAGTAGGGCTGGGGATGTGGCTCAGTAGTTGGGTGCCCCTGAGTTTAATCCCTGGTACTAAAAACCAACCAAACAAACAAAAATCCAAATCCAAAACCAAAAACCAAAAACCAAAACACAAAACATTCAAATTGAAAGTCTGGGTAAAAGTTTCTCTTAAGGCTTGTGCATGGTGGGACACATATGTAATCCCAGAGACTCTGGAGGCTGAGGCAGAAAAACGTCAAGTTTGAAGCCAGACTGGAAAACTTATCGAGAGCCTGTCTCAAAATAAAATAACAAAAGGAGAGGACTAGAGATGGAGCTCAGAGGTAGAGTACCCCTTGGTTCAATCCTCAGTACCACAAAACTTTTTTTTTTCTTGTAGGTGAGGAGTAGGTGAGGAGTTATATCTAAAATTTCCAAGAACACTGGAAATAAAATTTATTTTCATTTAGAAAATTATGGTGGTGTGTGATACAATGTGGTTATATACCTTAATAATTTGTCAGTATCTCATTTACAGTACTCTATAACTTAAATAGGATCTATAACTTAAATAGGAAAATACAGAATAAATTTAATATTTTTCTCTATGCCAAGCTCTGGGCTAATTACTTTCTATAAATATTTTATTCAGTCCTCATAATTCTGTGGGATAAGTATATTTTAAGGAAATTGAGATAAAACTTACATATAATAATTGCGTCCATTTTAATTGTGTGAGTCAATGAATTTTAGTGATGTATTGACCAATGCAACCATCATCATAATGATTGTCTATTTTAATCATTGCAAAATATCCTTTTGTTTCCCCTTTTAAGTCTTTGCCCAGCCCTGGGAAAGCACCAATATGCTATCACTGTAATTTTGTCTTTTCTTGAGTTTTAATGTAAGTGGAATTACAAATATGTAGCCTATTGGAGCTTGCTTTTTTCACTTAGCATAATGCTTTGAGCTTAATCCATGTTGCTTACATATGTCAGGAATTAATGGCTTTTTATTGCTGAGTAATATTCCATTGTGAGGGTGTACCACATCAGTTGATAGTCAGTTGGGTTGTTTCTATTTTTTGGTTATTATGGATAAAATCGCTGTTTTAGTCAGCTTTTTCATCACTGTGTCGCGGTGGGCAAAAGGTGTGACTTATGCAGTCGAGGGGGAGAATAAAAATTGTCCACACCTTCTGCCCTTTTCACTGCTTTCTTTACTCAAATTACTTAATACAATTTCACTCTATAGGTTCTTAATCAAGAAAGTGACAATCCTTAATACTAGGCACTCAATAGACATAATCAGTTCACAGCAAACAATTCTATAACAATTCTAAGCACTGCAAACACACTTAATCATGACAGGCTCATGATAGACAGTCCCTCTGCATGCTAAGTTCAAGTGTCAGATCAAAGCCTCAAGTCTTAGGCTCTAAGACCAGCAGATGCACACTTACTCATACTGTGATGACATGATCAGGAACCAAGGCAGGCTTCTGGGGTGGAACTGATGGCCAGTTGAGGAGAGGGTCATGGGGAGAAGTCCTTTTCTCACCAGAGTCAAGAGACTGCTGTAGAGTTTGAGAATGGTGAGAACAATGCAGAGGATCGGGCAGATGAGAGAAGAGTTGGGATGTCAGTCTAGGTCCTCATCAGGCTCTCAGCCTTGTGTGCATCAGTGTCAGCTGGCTGAATGTCTGTTCAGTTGCTCCATCATTTATACTAAACTTGGGGGCTTCTGACCACCCTTTCAATCTCTATCAGCTGCTACTGGATTTCTCAGTGATGTCATTTGCCCCGGCGTTAAAGCATCTGTTCTGGGGGTCCCCACCCTGATTTTCTTGCCTCTCACTCTGATCAAGGGAAGGCAACAAGCCAGAGACTTCACTCTTGAGTTTGTCAGGGTGGGGAGAAGTGACTTGTTTGGGCCTGAGGGCCATATTTGGAGGTCTCAGTAGGTGTGCCTGGTGAGACCTCAGGTTTCAAACTGGAGTTTAAAATGGAGTTGCTTAGGCTAAGGCCCAAGGCTATCTTTACACACTGTGACCAAAAGACCTAACAAGAACAATTAGAGGAGAAAAGGAATTGCTTTGGGCTTGAGGTGAGGAAGAACTTCATGGCAGAGGAAAGCAGCTCAGGACATGGCAATCAGGAAGCAGAAAAAGCTCTACCCAACAAGGACAAAATGTAAACCCCACAGGCACGACCAGTCTCCTCCAACTGCACCCTACCTGTTTATAGTTACCACCTACTTAATTCATTCAAGTGGATTCATGTACGGATTAGGTAAAGACTCTCAAAACCTAATGATTTCACCTCTAAACTTTCTTACATTGTCTCACATGTGCACCTTTGGGGGAAACCTCATTTCTAAATCATAACAGTTGCTTTGAATAATAATGTAAGCCTTTATATGAAATTACTTAGTTCTTAAGAGAACATTATGTTTTTCTAGGGGTTGTGTTGCCTAAAGTTCAGTCCTTGTCCCCAATGCCAATTCAATGATAAGGACACAGTTTTGAGAAAAAAGGAAAAAGGTCTATTGCTTTGCTAGCAAAGACAAACACCTGGGTAGGGTGCTGGTGGTGGTGTGGGGGTATGTGGGGGTGTTTCCTATTCCGAAGGCTGTGATTCTACCCATCAGGAGGAACAGGAGGATTTTAAAGGAACTCTTCAAAGGTTGCATCCCAGGTGTGTTCTGGTAAGGGATCTCAGAGCTCCCTAATGGTATGTTAGGTATTCACTTCTTAGATCCTCTGGCAGAAATCTCCTTCCTGTGGTTGGTGTGTTCAAGGACAATTAATTAGGGGAAGAAAAAGGTGACACTGTCTCCCTAATCTTGTTAGGGACCCGGAGAGGGGAGAAGAAAAAGAGAGAGAGGAAAAAATGTCCTTTTAAAAGTAAGACTCAGAGCAAAACGAGCTATATTCAAAGGCTGAAGTGGACCACTGTAACATCTGTACTACATTAAATCCCCCCAAACAATGCACCAGTTGCTTTTCATTCTTGCTAACAGTTGGTCTTTTTGTCTAACTAAACACACTGGTGAGTGTACAGTCATATCTTTCTTTTTATTTGTGGTGTTGGGGACAGAACCCACACAGAGGCTAGGAAAGGAGTGCTACCATGGAGATACCCCCTCCCCAGCCCTAGGGTCATACCTTATTGTGGGTTTTCACTGCATCTCCCTAATGTGGTAGCTAGTTTCCAGCCTGGCATCCACCGATCCTGACTTCTGCGTATTCACGCCTTTGTCCAGTCCACCTCCAGAACAAGTAAAAGACTCTCTTTTAAGAAGTAAATAATTTTTAAATGAAATAAATGCCAGTAAGAAGAAGGGGAGGGTGTTCATTTTTTTGGTTAGGTAAGGAAATTTGTGAAGTCTAATTTTCTCTGTTTTTATTTGATAATCTGATAATGAGTTAATTTAGTAGGCATTCAGACAAATTCTGTACAGATAAGACCAAAAATTACATCAAAATCAAATAACCAGGGCTGGGGTTGCCGTGGCTCAGCGGCCCATAAAAAWAAATAAATAAATAAAGGTTTAAAAAAATTAGATAACCGATTTGGGTTGGAATAATAGGAGATCACAGCTAAGGCGTCCTGACGTAGCTCGTCTTGCGGCTCCGCGGGGCCTCCCTTCAGAAGAGCCTCCCCTCTCTGGAATCACCTGGACCTCCCTTCAGGCACCTCTCCTAGATCTCAGCTTGGGCTCCTTTGCTCGCGAGAGTTTCCCTCCACCTAGCGGTATCATCCCAGGGCTGCCGGAAACGGAGGCCGAGAAGAGCCGCGAGACTTGGCTGGCCACACCCACCCAGGCCGGGTCTCTCTTCCCGCGCGCTCCTCCCAGCCAAGCTCCCCAGGGCTGCACGTGCAGTTGTTGTGGTTGACGTCACTGGAGCCCGGAAGTGCACCCAGCGAAGGTCCCGCCTCCAAGATGGCGGCGCCCTACGCACGGGGCCGCTACCGGCTTCGGCTCAGTCTCTGGTGATAGCCTCGACCCGGTCTGCGGGGACATGGAGCAGCCGGGGTTCACCGCCTCGCTAGTGGTGAGTGCGGGGCAGCAGGGTGGGATGCTCGGAGTGCCTCAGGCCTGCAGTGGAGCCCATGGGGATTTCTGTGCACGAGCGTTTCCTTCCGGTTTGGCGCACGGGCTTGGCGCGCAAGTCTGTCCTCGGGTTCCTGACCGCAAGGTCTCCCACGGAGCCCCGGGTTCTACTGCGGTGGCGGGGCCTGGTCCCGAGGCCACGTGTGGTGACCGCCCGTCAAGAGGGGGAAGGAGAGGTACTTAGTGTTCTCTGCGCCCTCTCTACTTCCTTTATACTCCATAATCACTTCAAACTCGAGATTAAGTATATATAACTAAAGGGGAAAAAAAAGCAACAAAATAACCTGTCAATAAAATCGCTCATAGAGCCTCTCTACAAGACTAAGTTGTCATTTTGCTGTATCTTTTTTCCGTCGTAGAAAATGACATTTTCACCTAATCATTCAATACATAATTAATCTGCTTATTCTGCTCCAACCTTGGACTTTGAGGAAACATTGAAAAGCGCAGGTAGCTTTTCTGTGGAGTCCATGGGTGGCTTATTAAATTCCTTAGAAAACTATGAGAGGCAACACGTTTTGACTTAAAAGAGCAAGAACATAAAGTCCTTTCTCAAATATTTTGGAGCTTCTATTTGGGCAGGTCCACTAGGGGACACGTAAAGAAGAGAACAGGACAKATTGACTCTCTTCATTTTTATTAGTTTTAGATGGACAGAATGCCTTTATTTTATTTATTTTTATATGGTGCTAAGGATGAACCCAGGACCTCACGCATTCTAGGCAAACGGTTTGCCTCTGAGCTACAGCCCCAGTCCATAAACACATAATTTTGAAAATGCATCTCATAGAATAAATTAAGGCCTACAGCTGTTTATTCACTTACATAACCAATGTTGGGAGACACTCTTGGATATAATGTGGTGAACAAGACAGACCTACTTACAAGGCTCAGGTAGTGGAGACAGAATAGTAAAGTGATGGTAGGGATAAATGACAGGTAGTCTAGGTTCAGAGTCTTGTGGGCACATGTGGAAGGAAGAAGTTCCTTAGCCAAATGTATGGGATGATAGCTTTAGATTTGTTGAGATGTGTATAAGCTAGGTCTGTAGAGATGTACAGACATACATAACCACTTTCATTGAGTTTTCTAGTCTAGCAGGTGAGACAGCAATAGTAGTTTTGACAACTAACATTCCTGTCAGGAACTGGGTAACCTCTTATATTATATATTATTCCATTTAATTCTCACAGACAATTGAAGTCTTACCCTAGTTTTTCAGTTGAGGGAACTGGGATACAAAGACATTAGAAAACTTGTCCAAAGTCACACAGTTGAGGTTCATTTTATATTAAAGCTCAATCCAACCTAGGTGGTGCAACCTGGGGGTTTGTGTCCTTAACTGCTTCCCTTTACTTTCTCAAGTCAATAACAGTAGCAATTACTAAACAGAGATGAGTGCTAGAGTTAACAAAATAATTATTTTGGGCTGGGGCTGTAGCTCAGTGGTAGAGAGCCCGCCTTGCACTGTGAGGCACTGGGTTCGATCCTCAGCACCACATAAAAATAAAAAATGATATTGTGTCCAACTACAACTAAAATATATATCTAAAAAAACAATTATTTTAAAGTGAATTTTATTAAGGTATACACATGCAGGTATATTCTTTTCCTGTCTCTTTGTAGAGATTAAATTAGGACCAGTGGGTGGAAATTGCAAGAAGTTCGAGTTCATTCCAAGTGAAGGAAAAGCATTTTATTATAGCACACAGTTAATGGTTCCACCTTTCCTTTCCCTCCTCCTCCTTTTTCTTTTTCTTCTTCTTCTTCTTCTTCTTTTTTTTTTTTTTTTTTTTTAAGCTCAAGAGAGGACTACTTAGAAAGTTTTAGTTTTGGGAAGTTTAGGTATAAATGACTTTTTAATGTACTTTTTTTTTTTTTTTTTTGTACTGGGGATTGAACCCAGTGGTGCTCTACCACCTAAAGCTACACCCCCTACCCTTTTTTTTGTTGTTGTTGTTTTTTAGGGTCTCACTAAGTTGCTGAAGCTGCTTTTGTACTTGTGATCCTCCTGCCTTAGCCTCCTTAGTTGTTGAGGCCATCATATTCTGTTTGTTAATATACTTTTGTTTCCATTTCCAAACCCTAATACTACATGTTGAAAATCACTTTAATTTTTTTTTAATTATCAGACAAAATTTGAGTAAGAATAATGCTGTGCCAAATAAAAGAAACATAGTAGTTCCAGCTACAATTGTCCCACCTCTACAAGTTAGGTTTAAGCAGATATATTTGTTGGCTTTTGCTCTGGTACTAGGGATAGAATGCCCCAAAGGTATGTTCCCTGCCTTCATGGATTCATACTAGAAGGCAAAAATTAAATAAGGTTGGAGCTATAGAGCTTAGAGGTGGAGCACTTATCCAGCGTGCTCAAGGTCATGGGTTCCGGTCCCAGCATGGCAAAACAAAACCCCAAGTAAAGCAAAAATTAGCTGTGTAATTGCAAATAGAGATACAACTTAACTGCTTACTGAGCATTTTAACATGTGCTTTTACACCGTTTTTTTTAAACTTTTTAAAAAATTTGTAAGTGAACACAGTACCTTTATTTTATTTTATATTTTTTTTTTATATATAGAGAGAATTTTAAATATTTATTTATTTTTTTAGTTTTCGACGGACACATATCTTTGTATGTGGTGCTGAGGATCGAACCCCGGGCCGCATGTATGCCAGGCGAGCACGCTACCGCTTGAGCCACATCCCCAGCCCCCCTTTATTTTATTTTTATGTGGTGCTGAGGATCAAACCTAGTGCCTCACAAGTGTGAGGCAAGTGCTCTACCACCGAGCTACAATTGCAGCCCCTTACAGCTTTTTTGTAACTGAATTTATAACACAGTTTGGTGTTTAACTTTTTAAAAATTAACTTATAAACTCAAATCCTAGAATCATAAAACAATGTGAACACTAGTATTTCTCTAAGGTTTTTGAGCATTGCATGATTTAGGTTTTCTTTTGCATCAGCCAGTGGATGATTTTTGTCTAGAGAGCCAACTTTGAGGAGAGCTTTTAATTCATTATTGCTAATGAAAGACATGTACTCTTCAGTCTTTGGTAAAGTATTCTGTGTGTGTGTGTGTGTGTGTGTGTGTGTGTGTGTGTGTGTATATATTTTAATATTGGCATGTCAGATTGGTATTAGTAAACTTTTAAACATAATTATAGTCACAGAATTCTAAAGAGAATGTATATTTATTTTGAAAATTGTTTAAGGGCCAGGCATTTTGCTGAGCTTATAATAGGTTCACTTATTTGTTTTTATTCTCATTTCACCTTAAAGTAATTCTAGTGAAGCATAGACAGTATTTTCCTCATGTTTAGAATGAAGATAATATTGGCTTAGAAAAGTTCCTAAGGAGACCCCAGTTGAGATTGTCTTTCTGATGCCAAACTTGGCTCTTAGGCAATATTTAATCTGAAAGAATTTCTAGAGAAATAGAAGAATATTCAACTCAGAGTCTAGAAGTATTATTGCATTCTTGAGAACAGCCTCACTAAACAAAACTGAACTCTACACAGCCCTTTTAAATAGGAGGTGCTGATAAATAGGATTTCTGGAGAAGTCTCCCGAAATACACCGTAAAGCTGTCCTTGTGGCTGGGGAATGCTAAGAAGAATAGCAGCAGACGGATAACACTGGCTTTCAGTTGTTGTAACTGCTGTAGCAGACCAGAACAGGGAGAACCACATAGTGATCCGCTGTGGTTTTTCTTCTGAACACTCAGTCTTTTCATAAGGTGTTAGCTTATCATCTTCCAGTTCCATTTGGTAAGCCCTGCTGTGTAAATGATGCTGGGTTAGATATTTAGGAAGACAGAGGTGCACTTGGAAGGATTTTCATGCAGAACATCATGGTTAGAACTAAAGTGAGATATAAGCAAAATTATGTGGAGTCAGGGAAGTAGCATTTAATTCTGTCTGGGAGATTGGGAATGGCATTATGAGCAATATGGTATTTGGTTGCAGCCATAGGAATGACAGGATTTTTTTTTTCTTTTTGCAACTGCACCAGTGTATTTTATTTTTATTTATTTATTTATTTGTTTTTATTTATATACAGCGGGATGCCTTACAATTCTTATTATACATACTGAGCACAATTTTTCATATCTCTGGATGTTTACAAAGTATATTCACACCAATTTGTGTCTTCATATCTGCACTTTGGATAATAATGATCATCACATTCTGCCATCATTTATAACCCCATGCCTCCTCCCTTCCCCTGTCTTGAGTTCGTCTATTCCTCCAATGCTCCCTCTCCCTATCCCACTATGGATTAGCCTCTTTATATCAAAGAAAACATTCAGCATTTGGTTTTTTGGGATTGGCTAACTTCACTTGCATTATCTTCTCTAACTTCATCCATTTATCTGCATATGCTGTGATTTTATTCTCTTTTATTGTAATATTCCATTGTGTATATATGCCATATATTTTTTTTTTTTATCCATTCGTCTAGTCTATTGAAAGGCATCTAGGTTGGTTCCAAAGTTTAGCTATTGTAAATTGTGCTGCTGTAAACATTGATGTGGCTGTGTCCCTGTAGTATGTTGTTTTTAAGTCCTTTGGGTGTAGACTGAGGAGAGGGATGGCTGGGTCAAATGGTGATTCTATTCCCAATTTTCTCAGAAATCTCCATATTGCTTTTCCTATTGGCTG